AAAAAAAAAAAAAAAAAAAAAAAGTAGGGAAGTGTTTAGTTCTTTAGGTAATTAGGTTGGTTACATCTATTTTTGTTTGATTCACTCATTGTTCTAAACATTTCCGTTTAGTTTAACAAACATTATATAGGAACATGGAATGATATGACACATCTCCTCTCTTTATGGAGTAGAATAACCTCATGCATGGTTACCTGGGACTGTCCTGGTTTTAGTGCTAAAAGTCTCACCTAAGATGATTGAACACTGCAATCCAATCATTTCTCTTGGTAGGAAAAATAAACAAATAAATGACTCAATTTAATAAGCATTTATTAAGCTCAATTTTTTCCCCTGGAATTTGAGAGTACCTGGAAAGATGCAGCCTTGAGGAGTAAATAAGAATTTATCTGAAAAACTGACAGTGGCTAATCAAATTTCTAGGCAGAAGAAGCTGCATGCACAAAAGCACATAAACCTGAAAATAACATGTTATGTCTGGAAAATTGTAAACAGGTCAGTATAGCTAGAGCAAGAAGAAGGAAGCACATAGTGGCCAAGAGATGAAGCTGGATAGTTACATGGAGCCCATTTATGGATCTTGTATGCCCCACTGAGGAACTTAAACTTAATCTGTATTTGTCAGGGATCAGCATTGCTTGAACCCGGGAGGTGGAGGTTGCAGTGAGCTGAGATCAAGCCACTACACTCCAGCCCAGGCGACAGAGGGAGACTCCATATCAAAAAAAGAAATAATCCTAGAGTCTTGATCTGTCAGGCTGGAGTGCAATGGCATGATCTCACTGCTGCTTCCCAGGTTCAAGTGATTCTCCTGCCTCAGCCTCCCTAGCTGGGATCACAGGCACGCACCACCACACCCAACTAATTTTTGAATTTTTAGTAGAGACAGGGTTTCATTGTGTTGGCCAGGGTGGCCTTGATCGCCTTACCTCATGATCCACCCACCACAGTCTCCCAACATGCTGGGATTGCAAGCATGAGCTACCGTGCCCAGCCAAAATTATTACTTCATGTTGCTTTCTCTGACTTATAATTACCAGTAAAGTTGGAGGTTGGTGACTCTGCATCTATAGCAAATAATGCATCAAGAACTTAATGGCTATTAGCTTTCAGCTTTCTGGCCTATAGTGTAATATACTTTTGACTGTTCCCTTTACTCCTCCATGAGGAGATGTCTTAAAGCAGGGAGTAATTGTAGCTCAGTTTGGTGTTCTTTCCGGTGGGTAAGGCCCCTTTTGGTTCTTGACTTTACAGAGTCAAAGCTGATGAGGTTCCAGATTAAATTGAACTTCCTCCTCAGGTTGCTAAGCAGGATACAGGAATCCCATAGTCTAGCCTGATCCATCCAGCCTATTCAGAGACCTCTCGGTGAGATGGCCTGGAAAAAATGGTGAAGAGTTGTCAGCTGGGCAAGGAAGAGAGAGAACAGTTGGAGGGAGGGAGGGAGGGACGGAGGGGGAGGGGAGGGGAGAAAAAGAGAGAGAGAGAGAGAGGCAGAGTTGGATTCCATGATGTTCATTATGTTTTAATTACAAAGTATAAATGAGACCAAATCATTTTATATAGAGAGACATAATCAATATTCTGTTTTGGAAAGGTCAAAAATTATCACCTTATGCTGATAAACTGGAGGCAGAGAGACCTACTAAGAACGTCATAAGAAGTGGTCAGGGCTTGAAATAACCCAGATACTACTGGTAGGGATGGACTTGATAGATCAGTAGACTTTGGTTGAGTGAGTGAATAGTAGATAATGAATTAAAGAAAGTAAGATAACTCACAGTTTTCTGACTTGAAAAACTAGCTACATGGGTGGCACTACTAATCAATACAAGGAAGACAGAAGGAAGAGTAGGATGAATGGGGTAAGAGGCAAATCCCTTTTAGATATCTCTTCTATATATCCAGGATAGTGATATTTAATAGCATATGGTCATTTGGGAGTTCCAAACTACCAGCACAGATTTAGTAGTTACTGAGCATTTAAAAGATGTCAGAAATGTAACCCAAGAGAAATGGTCAGAGAAAGAAAGAAAATAAGGAAAATATGAATGCAAGATAGGCAAGTTTAAAAAGGGAGTGATCATTGATATCAGATGATGCAGGCAAATTATAAGAGAATCTGAAAATTAAAAGGTCAGTGGTGAAAGTATGGAGTAAGAGGATGAGTAGCACAATGGAAAGGTAGTAGTAGGGAGTGTCTTTAATTTTTAAGGATGGCAGAAATGTGAATATATTTAAATGCTAAGAGGAGGCCAATGTGGTGGCTCACATGTGTAATCCTAACACTTTGGCAGGCCGAGGTGGGTGGGTCACTTGATGCTAGGAGTTCCAGACCAGCCTGGCCAACATAGCAAAACGCTGTCTCTACTAAAAGTTACAAGAATTAGCTGGCCTGGCGCAGTGGCTCAAGCCTGTAATCCCAGTACATTGGGAGGCCGAGGCGGGTGGATCACGAGGTCAAGAGATCGAGACCATCCTGGTCAACATGGTGAAACCCCGTCTCTACTAAAAATACAAAAAATTAGCTGGGCATGGTGGCGCGT